TAGTCGGGGTATATTAATTTTTGGCGACTAAAAAAAATTTAGTCGCTAAAAATCTCACAATTGGCGACTAAAAAAAATTTAGTCGCTAAAAATCTCACAATTGGCGACTAAAAAAAATTTAGTCGCTAAAAATCTCACAATTGGCGACTAAAAAAAATTTAGTCGCTAAAAATCTCACAATTGGCGACTAAAAAAAATTTAGTCGCTAAAAATCTCACAATTGGCGACTAAAAAAAATTTAGTCGCTAAAAATCTCACAATTGGCGACTAAAAAAAATTTAGTCGCTAAAAATCTCACAATTGGCGACTAAAAAAAATTTAGTCGCTAAAAATCTCACAATTGGCGACTAAAAAAAATTTAGTCGCTAAAAATCTCACAATTGGCGACTAAAAAAAATTTAGTCGCTAAAAATCTCACAATTGGCGACTAAAAAAAATTTAGTCGCTAAAAATCTCACAATTGGCGACTAAAAAAAATTTAGTCGCTAAAAATCTCACAATTGGCGACTAAAAAAAATTTAGTCGCTAAAAATCTCACAATTGGCGACTAAAAAAAATTTAGTCGCTAAAAATCTCACAATTGGCGACTAAAAAAAATTTAGTCGCTAAAAATCTCACAATTGGCGACTAAAAAAAATTTAGTCGCTAAAAATCTCACAATTGGCGACTAAAAAAAATTTAGTCGCTAAAAATCTCACAATTGGCGACTAAAAAAAATTTAGTCGCTAAAAATCTCACAATTGGCGACTAAAAAAAATTTAGTCGCTAAAAATCTCACAATTGGCGACTAAAAAAAATTTAGTCGCTAAAAATCTCACAATTGGCGACTAAAAAAAATTTAGTCGCTAAAAATCTCACAATTGGCGACTAAAAAAAATTTAGTCGCTAAAAATCTCACAATTGGCGACTAAAAAAAATTTAGTCGCTACATTTGCCACAATTGGCGACTAAAAAAATATTTTAGTCGCTAAAAATCTCACAATTGGCAACTAAAAAAAAATTTAGTCGCTACATTTGCTACAATTGGCGCTGTATAGATAGTTTTGGCAACTAAAATAATTTAGTCGCTGGAAGAAACATAAAAATTTACTTTTTATCTTTGGCGACCAAAATTTTGGTCAGCAAAAATGTAATTTCAGCGACTAAATTTTTAGTCGCTGTATAGATAGTTTTGGCAACTAAAATAATTTAGTCGCTGAAAGAAAAATAAAAATTCACTTTTTATTTTTGGCGACCAAAATTTTTGTCGGCAAAAATTTAATTTCAGCGACTAAAAAATATTTTGGTCATGGTATAGATAGTTTTGGCAACAAAAAAAATTTAGTCGCTGAAAGAAAAATAAAAATTTACTTTTTATCTTTGACGACCAAAATTTTAGTCGGTAAAAATTTAATTTCAGCGACTAAAAAATATTTTGGTC